GCACTTAGACGGCGCAAAGTACATACCATACTTACAGACACTGATTAAGTGCGATTTGGGCAGCCTGCATGCTATCACACAGTAAGACGATATCGTCTGCATACTCGAGATCGAAAAATCTTTCTCCAGGGAGCAGATCTACACCACCTTCACGTACGTCCTTCAGAGCTGACTTAACAGTGTCATCGATGGCAAAGTTAAAGAGAAAAAAAATGGGGAGATTGGGAAACTCTGTCTAACTCCATTGTTGCTTGGGAACAGTGATGACAGCTGATTGAATGCCCTCACTCTACCTGAGGTGTTTCTGTATAGGGCTTTCAAGATGTTGACAAACCTTCCAAGAACAACCCTCTAACAGACTGTTCCGGAGAACAGTTCTATTTAAACGAACCGAAAGCATTAATGAAAACAAAACACGTAGATCAGCGAAGAGTCTCTTTTCGGCGAATTCATTTTCTTAGCTGTACAATCACAAATATATGTGTTATTTTGTATGTATGTGTACATTAATTTTTTCAAACAAAATTACAATTGGTTAAGTTTATTTTAACTAAACAGGTGAAGGTTGGTAATACAAGTCAAGAAAATTAGGTGTAAATGAAACTAGGATAGTAACAAAGGTGATGGGCTGTCACAAACAGTTGTTAAAAGAAGTTATGTAATAATAATGTGGATAGTTACTTACGTTACTTAATCCACGTATGATTATGATCAAGCTAATCCCTTTATGGTTATCACAGGAAGACTTGTTTCCCTTCTTGTATGCCGAGACAATCAATGCCCCTACACCAGTTTAACGGGACTATTTCTGATTTTCAGACCTTGTCTAATACCTTAGTTAATCCAGACAGCAATTTATCAACAGTGTTCTTAAACACATTTGAAATCATTCTGTCAGGTTCTGCTGTTTTACCTCGTTGCAAACTGGAGACAGCCTTTGTAACCTCATTTACAGATGGGGGACCAGAGTCTACAACCCATTCAGGGAGGTGTTCGGTGCTGGGCAATCAAAGATAAAAGAGTGATCCTGAACGACTAGTAGAATTTTGACGCAAATTGAATACTTCATAGTGTGATATAAGCTAATAAACTAGGCTAGTATTCAGATTACATTCACGACTTTTATTTATTATTTATTTAAGATGCAGAACCTGGTAAAATATATGGCTCCAGGAAGAAGATGCATCACACATTAATAAAACAACTTATAAGGAATAGTCTATGTATTGTCAGAATGGGGAGAAAAAATAAAATTGTAACACATTCGCTATTGATTGCGAAAAAAAATGGGGAGATTGGGAAACTCTGTCTAACTCCATTGTTGCTTGGGAACAGTGATGACAGCTGATTGAATGCCCTCACTCTACCTGAGGTGTTTCTGTATAGGGCTTTCAAGATGTTGACAAACCTTCCAAGAACAACCCTCTAACAGACTGTTCCGGAGAACAGTTCTATTTAAACGAACCGAAAGCATTAATGAAAACAAAACACGTAGATCAGCGAAGAGTCTCTTTTCGGCGAATTCATTTTCTTAGCTGTACAATCACAAATATATGTGTTATTTTGTATGTATGTGTACATTAATTTTTTCAAACAAAATTACAATTGGTTAAGTTTATTTTAACTAAACAGGTGAAGGTTGGTAATACAAGTCAAGAAAATTAGGTGTAAATGAAACTAGGATAGTAACAAAGGTGATGGGCTGTCACAAACAGTTGTTAAAAGAAGTTATGTAATAATAATATGGATAGTTACTTACGTTACTTAATCCACGTATGATTATGATCAAGCTAATCCCTTTATGGTTATCACAGGAAGACTTGTTTCCCTTCTTGTATGCCGAGACAATCAATGCCCCTACACCAGTTTAACGGGACTATTTCTGATTTTCAGACCTTGTCTAATACCTTAGTTAATCCAGACAGCAATTTATCAACAGTGTTCTTAAACACATTTGAAATCATTCTGTCAGGTTCTGCTGTTTTACCTCGTTGCAAACTGGAGACAGCCTTTGTAACCTCATTTACAGATGGGGGACCAGAGTCTACAACCCATTCAGGGAGGTGTTCGGTGCTGGGCAATCAAAGATAAAAGAGTGATCCTGAACGACTAGTAGAATTTTGACGCAAATTGAATACTTCATAGTGTGATATAAGCTAATAAACTAGGCTAGTATTCAGATTACATTCACGACTTTTATTTATTATTTATTTAAGATGCAGAACCTGGTAAAATATATGGCTCCAGGAAGAAGATGCATCACACATTAATAAAACAACTTATAAGGAATAGTCTATGTATTGTCAGAATGGGGAGAAAAAATAAAATTGTAACACATTCGCTATTGATTGCGAAAAAAAATGGGGAGATTGGGAAACTCTGTCTAACTCCATTGTTGCTTGGGAACAGTGATGACAGCTGATTGAATGCCCTCACTCTACCTGAGGTGTTTCTGTATAGGGCTTTCAAGATGTTGACAAACCTTCCAAGAACAACCCTCTAACAGACTGTTCCGGAGAACAGTTCTATTTAAACGAACCGAAAGCATTAATGAAAACAAAACACGTAGATCAGCGAAGAGTCTCTTTTCGGCGAATTCATTTTCTTAGCTGTACAATCACAAATATATGTGTTATTTTGTATGTATGTGTACATTAATTTTTTCAAACAAAATTACAATTGGTTAAGTTTATTTTAACTAAACAGGTGAAGGTTGGTAATACAAGTCAAGAAAATTAGGTGTAAATGAAACTAGGATAGTAACAAAGGTGATGGGCTGTCACAAACAGTTGTTAAAAGAAGTTATGTAATAATAATATGGATAGTTTGACAAGTGAGTTTTACTCAGGATGCACATGGAAACAAAGTAAATAATACGAAATTATGTAAGAGATCTTAGTGAATACAAGAATTATAAGCAACTGAAGAACAGACAAAGAAACAGAATTAAGTCATCAAAATAAAAATAAAAAAACTCAAAACAAATCAAAACAGTTGTTACCATGACAGTATAAGTGTTTGAGTAATCTTCTTTTGTATGCACAGCTCTGGTTTTTCCATGTGAATGGCCAAAGCTTCAGCGATACAAAGAAGACGAAACTGTATTGCCTTTGATAGGTTATTTTTGACTCTGTAGATTACTTTGAAGCAGGAGGTGTTTGTTGAAATTCAATGATCAGTGTTAACCAAGTGTTCAATTATCGCACTCCTTATAGCACCACTATTGCCTTTTCGCAAACATGCTGGCTGGATAGCGTTCTTGAATCCTCTTGGACAGGATGCGCGTCGAACGACCGATGTACCTGGCTCCACAGCAGTAGCAGGTGAACTGATACATGCACATAGAAGTGGTCAGATGCGGGATCTTGCCCTTTAGGCTTCTGCAGATCAGTGGGCGACTGGAGAACACTATTCTTAGCGTTGCTGCAAAGAATGTTCTTCCAGAGATGATGTGATGCTTCTCTTGAGAATATCGCTTGCTAAATCTCCCTTGAAACCCAAGTTCATGTAGAGCTCCTTTTTAGGCGCAATTAAAGTTTCGTTTCTCCGAATTCTTGGTTTGATATTTTTGTCGATGAATCTTATTGGGTATCCATTTTGGATAAAGAGTTCTCCTAGAATATCTAATTCTGTTTCCAGAACGTCGGGACTACAGATGCGTCGGATGCGGGTAGCAAGTGATTTAATTAAATTTCGCTTTTGTTGAATGGGCACCCAGCTATAGAAGCTTGTTAGTTGACCATTCCACGTAGGGTTTCTATGGATTGATCTTCTTAGGCTCCCATCAGCTCTTCTTGTTAGTTCCACATCAAGAAATGGAATTTTTGATTCGTTTTCCATTTCAAGAGTGAATTTTATTGCTGGATAGCAACAGTTAAATGTCTTCAGCAGTAAACTGGGGTCATTGTTGTTGTCACAAATAATGAAAATATCGTCCACGTATCTTTTATACAGTCGCAAATTGTCAATGCTCGGCTTTTTTGAACCCCTCTCGAGGCTTGCCACGAAGCAATCTGATAGTAGTGGACCCAACGGAGATCCCATTGCAATACCGTTCTTCTGTCTGTAGATGGTGTCGTTGAATGTGAACTGGACGTTCAGAGTGCATCTCAATAATTCTTTCAAATATGTTGTCGGTATTCCAATATCGAGGTGGTTGTCATCTATATATCTGCATATGACGCAGACCGTTTCTGTGAGAGGGATATTGGTGAAAAGTGACTCACTGTCGAAGGACAGCATAATTTTGTTAGATACATTCATGTCTTGTATGCACTCGATGAACTGGAAGGTGTCACGGAGCGAGTGCGTACATAATTGCTTTCTTACAGGTTCCAGAATATCTACTGACCATTTTGCAATAGAGTGGTAAGGGGAACCTGACATATCCAGAAATGGACAAAGTGGGAGACCAACCTTGTGTATCTTTGGTAGACCATAAAGTCTTGGTATTATTAAACGACCAGATCCGGCCAACAGGTTCAATAATACCAAGACTTTATGGTCTACCAAAGGTACACAAGGTTGGTCTCCCACTTTGTCCATTTCTGGAAATGTCAGGTTCCCCTTACCACTCTATTGCAAAATGGTCAGTAGATATTCTGGAACCTGTAAGAAAGCAATTATGTACGCACTCGCTCCGTGACACCTTCCAGTTCATCGAGTGCATACAAGACATGAATGTATCTAACAAAATTATGCTGTCCTTCGACAGTGAGTCACTTTTCACCAATATCCCTCTCACAGAAACGGTCTGCGTCATATGCAGATATATAGATGACAACCACCTCGATATTGGAATACCGACAACATATTTGATTGGTTCGTTCCCATAGTTGCTTGTTGCTGATCTGATCCTCAATATGGGAGCCAGTGTGAAGGTAGGGACTTTCGGTAAATCTTTCTTGTATAGTAGCTAACAAATATTTTGTTAATAATTTCATTGTATATAATCGTTTCCTTAAAGTTTTACTACTATTATTATTGCTTTATTGTTGTAGAATTGTGAGAAGTAAGATCAAGCCTCAACTTGAACAAATATTAAGGGCTCGTGGATGTACAAATTTCACTTTCCCATCATAAATACAGTCATGCATGTGTATGCGTGTATGCAGCGATATATTCTCTATGATTTCAAATTATTATTATCAGTGTTCCGTTTTCTTGTTTTCTCATTCGTTTCATTATCTGACATTTTGTTTCGTTCATTTGTGCATTTACTCTTTATATATTTAAAGACATTTAAATAATGATAATCACACGTAACAGCTAAAACATTAAGAAAATAGAACACGTGTTTTTAAAATTGTATATCAATATTCATTATATAATACACAGTTCTTGTAAGTTAATGAATATATATATATATGTCGAGTTTATTGTTTAACAAACCTTTTAACCTTACGCTAGAACAAAAGTTTTGCCGCAAATATTAATAAAATAACACATAGTAAGGAATAATGTGAAGCATCATAGATTGAGAGTGTGTAATTCAAACAGTTGGTAGTCAAGCCTCCACCTCAACGACTACATTGGCTTTGAAAAGGGCTTCCGTAGACAACCTTGACCGAGAAGTAATTTGAAAAGAAAACTACTTCAACACTATGCCAGTGCAGTGTTGTAAATTTTTATCATCAACCTCACTGACAATGTTATGTGTCAGGTGGTGATCCACAAGGGAAAACGCAGAGAAGCTTTTGAAGTGAATACAGGAGTCAGATAAGACATAGATGTTCCTGATTGTAGTGGACTGGATTGTGCAACAGACTGTGTGTGCATGAGAGCGAGAAGACAAGCATACGCCGGAGCGAAAGGAAGACTCGAGAAGATCGGGACTTTGTGTGTGGATGACTTATGTTCAACGGCACACAGATTGAGAGACGGACAGGCGAAAACAAACAAACATCGAGGACAGGACTTAAGGTGAGCATAGATAAGACGGAAGTGATGAAGATGACCAACAAACAGCATTAGTCACCACCAATGGGAGAAATTTAAAAGAGGTCTCTTCCTTTGCTTATCTAGGAAGCTTCGCTTCAACAACAGGTGACAGCGCGGCTGAGGATGTCAAATTCAGCCGGGATTGGAAAGGCAATATACACCTTCACCAATTTGAAATGAGTTTTTGAAAATCTTCTACACTTAAACTCTGCATAAACAACAAGATTCGAATTTCTACAGCAGTGTTAATTCGGTCCATTCTTCTACATGGGTGGGAAACTTGAAGAATGCATCAGGAAAAGGATTTCCAACCGGTTACCTCAAACTATCAACGGCTATCTTCACTGGTTTAATACTGAAGATAAGATGGTAAGAGGGAATAATCAAAAGGGAATTCTTGAGACAAAACGGCCAATAAATATTCTGGAGGTGGTTTGGAAACATGTTGAGGAGATTGTTGATTGACATCGCACTCCAGACGGCCGGTCGAATAGAAGGTGAATGGTGATTAGCGAGTTAGGCGAAACTCTGAGGGTTACATAGAGTAGGTTGTGTGTGGAACCCATGGGATTAACAATAAAAATGCATTGTGAACAATACTGTCTTAAGTGTGTGTGTGATTAGGCTGGATGCAAAAACCAGAATGTGACTAAACCAATGTTTGATAAAAGTGTATGAAAGCCTGCTGTCGGTTTAAATTGTGTTTAGGAAAGTTTGTATGTGGATAGATTGAGTGATCGTCGGCCACTAAGTCATGTGTCTAGCCGTATAAATAACAAACATGCAGATGTATTGAGCCTTAATCCTCTTCGAAATTTTCAAGGTTTTCAGTAGCCTTTGTTTAATTATTCGCAAGCTGATAATTTTCTATTTCATCACGTTAAATTCCGTACTAATTTGTTCAGTAGATATACTTATATATTAAGACAAACGGTTTGGTTAAGAGTCTCTTTTCGACGAATTTATTTACGTAGTTGTACAATCGCATATGTATAGCCATTCTTTGTATGTGTATACCTGTCCAATTATGGCACTTCTTATTGATCCACTTACCATTTTTCTGTAGCCAAACGGGATCACTTTCTCTGACTGTTTTAGATAAAACACGTATCATACAACGACCAGTATGTCTCGCTCCACATGAGCAAGTAAATTGGTGAACACACATAGAAAAGTGGTGAAACACACTAGTTTATCTTTGAAGTTTTTGAGGAAAATTGAGCGGCCAGTCTTAATGTAGGAGCGAAGAATGTCCTTTCTGGGAGTGACGGTCAGAAGGTTGCCTCCCAACACTGCATTCATGTAAAGCATCTTTTTTGGCACATAGATGGAGTGTTTCCTGTTGGTTTTAGGTTTTATGTGTGTATCTTTAAAACATGGGAGTAACCGTTTTCAGTTAATGTTCTCTTCATTTACCGACTGAGAGCTTCAGATTCTTCGGACCTTTGTCAGAGGAGATATTAACAAGTTCCGCATTTTATTAATGAGTGCTCAACTTTAAGAGTTTGTCAACTAGTCATTTGAATTATAGGCTTTCTACTCAAAGTCCCATCAGTCTTCTTTGTTAGTCGAACACACTTAAAAGATGCTGTTTGTTTAGTTTCTCCTTTAATTGCCAATTCGACGGCTGGGTGGCAGCCATTAAAAAATTTGAAGGACATTTAAGTCACATTTGTTATCAGAAATGATAAAAGTGTCATCAACGTAACTTTTGTGCAGAACAAGGACACAGACAACTACTTTACAGGAAAATATCTGCAAGTACCAGAAATAATGGTCATTCCATAACTACACCATCTTCCTGTCTACTGATAAGCCCACTGAATATGAATTAGATCTTTAGAGTGCATCCAAGCCAAGGTTATTTCGAACTGAAAATCGGTGTTCCGATATTCAAGTCGTCGTCTTCCAAGTACTTGCATGGGAAGCAAATGGTTTGCGTAATCGGGACATGTATGAAGAGATCTAGTGAAACCGTGCATTTTGCATCTGCTTTTAATTCTTTCAAAAATTCGACGAATTAAAATGTCTCCCGAAGTGAGTACGTTGAAATTCATTCTCTGACGGGCTATAAGAGTCTAGCTAGCCATTTCGCATTTCTCTACGCAGCACACATAAAGGTAGAGAAAAGAGGGGAAAACTTAGGTTAAAAAATTATTATAAGCAGAAATTTAAGGGAGAAGAATAGAGTGCTTAAGATATCTGACGAAGTGACTTGAAAGAGTTCACAATAGTAGAGATGTAGACACTTCCTGTCATTTTTTCTCAATTTATATTTTCCCGTCGATTAATTGCACTGAAGTGCTGGGTCTCAGGTTGACATTTCGGCTCTTAGTGCAGACGCCTCGACAATGTCTGGTCAAGTAATTTTGTAACAACAGAAGGCCAGACATGGAAGCCAAGGTACACTTTTTATTTATGTGAAACCGCTGTTTATATATTTACAGTTTATATTCGTTAACCAATCACTGGGAGTGCGATTTTGGTTCACATTAAACGACATGAAATAGAAAGTTCATATATACATAGTGTTCTGTTGCTAACGTGGTGTTAAACTATGAGAATAATATTCTGACTCCAGCCAAAAACAGAATGTTCAGGCAGATATATCGCATTCTGTTGCTAATGCCGTACTGAACTGTGTGTGTGAGAACCGTACTCTCCCGGCACACAGTGTATGTATCATACCACCGCAGTTTGAAATCAATTGGTTGGTAGTGACTAGCCGACATGTCAACCTGACACCGAGCACTTTGGTTCAATCAATCGACGGGAAAATCTTAATTGGATTAAATAATTAATGAAACCGTTGCACAAGAAATAGTTCTTATGGCCCAAGTGGATAATGCTTTGGCGTCTGAAACTATGGACACTGGTTTCGAGTCCCGGTTGGAACACCATCACTCACTGAGGAGTGCAGGAACATTCAACTGACGAGTGCCAAATAGGGGGTAATGCGCACTCTGGAATCTAATGCTAGTCACCATCAACCAATCGACTTCTTGTCATTCTCTGAAGTTTATGAAAAACTGAGTACTTGCTTATGAATTATCTTCAATGCATCATTGTTCACTGTACTTTACCACATTTCTTTTCTCTTACTTAGCAACACGCGCTTCTATGAATTGTGGGAAACTAAACTGATGAACTTTTGTTCAACGTTCCATGTCGTTAAGTTAATCGATACTGAAATGAAGTATGTACAGATTGGCCTGTAGTAGGCGAATAATTTCCAAAAGTTATCAGCTTACACTATTTATCGCACAACAGTTGGATGCTGACCTTCACTTTTTAAGTCGACTCGTTAAGCTGAAGGCTCGTAGTCAAGCATTCACACCATTTGTCTCGCCGTCGTGTTACACGTTCGCCTGTTCGTGCATGATCCCAAGGTAGTTAAACAATCGATCATCCTAGCGCTAGGATTTTAATCACAAAATATATATTTCGTATTTTGGATGATCTGTTCATTGTTTTAAGTCGCCTTTGGTCCACGCAAAAAAACAATTACCGCAGGAGTTGTTTTGTATATTGCTGTATTTTTGTGTATTACTATTAGGAGTTGGTTAACGAGCTCACTTCGCAAACTAAATGTCCTGGGTCCGTTCCCCCATAGGTAGCGTCATAGCTGCGTACTGATGAAGACCTCCGGACATCAACAAAACAGCTGTTCAGTACTCCTTGTTTTTCACTTGTGCTCTAACTAATATCACTCCGTGATCAGACTATTGGTTTTGTCAGCCTATATCTTATTTGCCGTTCTACGTAAAATAAAAAGCTTTTCGTCATATTTAAATGAAAACTGATAATTTAGTTCTTACTTCTCCAACTACTGTCTAAGCTGAAGCCAGGTAAATCACCTGGACCAGACGGACTTCACCCTAGATTGCTAATCTCCTCAGCGGATGTAATAAACATTCCACTTACGGAGACTTTTCAGATGTCTTTGACCCAGGCTAGGCTATTCAGGGACTGAAAAGATGCTTTTTAAGCCCCATCTTCAAAGAGGGGAACAGGCAGTTAGTATCTAACTGCATTATAGCAACTGTGTAAGAAAAACTCATAAGGAAACAGCCTTTATGTCATACGAAAAAACACAGCTTACTGGTAGTGGAACAGCATGTATTCCCACTAGGACTATCTTGCTTCATAAACTTACTGTTAGCTAGGTAAGATTGGGTCGAGGCGAGGGATAAAAACCATCTATGGACGTTGTCTTTATCGGTCTTAGTAAAGCATTCGATAAGGTATTCCATTTAGACCTCCTTAGTAAACTTAAACGCTTGGGATAAGACCAACGCTTATGTGAGTGGTTTAGTAACTACCTGATGGATAGGAGATAGTATGGTTAATGGTGTACTGTCAGGGTGGAAAGCAGTACTAAGTTGAGTACCTCAGGGAACTGTACTTGGCCCTCTGATATTCCTATCATACGTAA